TAATAATAATAAATTTATTTCCGAACGAATAGTATACATACGCCCATGTAAAATAAATTTAAAAATGACGGTAAAGTGTTCTTAATAAGAAAAAAAATTATACAATATTCACATTATGGAATACTTACAATAAAATACAATATAAAAAAGAAATAAATACAAGAAAAAATCGGAAAATCGCCAAAAAATCGGAAACAAATATTTTTTAATAATTTTATTCGCGTTGGATTAGATCAACTGAAAACAAAGACAATTTTCATTCCAGAAGCAAAGACAATAATCATTTAAAATACTCTTATCTACCTTATTTTAATAATATTGTTTTTTATACAAAAATGAATTTTTTTAACTAATATATTTTTAGTAATTATTTAGTTAATTGAGGGCATAAAAACCAAGCTAAACAAAAACAAAACATGTTTCTTCGTTCGTTTTTTTTATACAGTTTCTGTTTTCCTTGTTCAATGATAACAAATTCGACTTCCATTCTACGTGTTTATGCTGGATGATGATAGGCACAATAAATAAAATTTTCCAAAAATTGGCAGGGATGACAATGCCAATGGCCTGACAATGATAATGAGATGAAAATTATTGTATTTCTCGGGCAAATTTTTGGTTCGCTAAAATGTTCTTAGAGAAATTATGATTTCGGGAAATTTTCCATCAGGGCAATTTTCGTTTCGTTGTATTGCTTTCGATCAACATTTTCTTTTTATTTGGCCATTTATTTTCGGACAATCTTTTGCATTTGCATACCCCATACAGCTATGTGCAGAGTCTAGCTCATTCTAACAATGGTTTTTGGCAAAAAAACAGACTCTAAAATCACACTGTAAAAGAGACCTGCTGCCATGATAGAAGTTTTATTTTGTCCCAAGCAACCGTCAGAAAATAATTAGGTAGAATGGTGTGATTTTCTCTCGCATGCATTTTCATGCATTTTCATTTCAACAAAAGGACCTATCTCAAATTCAATTCAATTGGTATAACAAAGAGTCCTATCTCAACATACGTCTCTTCGTCATAACAAAGAATTGTAGTATTTGAGATGTTACTATGTTAGTAACCAACATAGTAACTTTTACTCTCAAAATTTCATACAAATCGCTAAAGCATTTGAAAGAAAATTAAAATAAATCTAAAAAATATGAAAACTTTAACCCCCTGTAGCTACGAAACAAAGCAGAATCGGATATTATGTTCATATCAAAAATAAATCTTATTTTTACGCGAGGAATCTCCCCACGAGGGATGGCACATGTTTTTTTAAACACCTTGTATAGGCTCTATACAGGGTGAGTTTCCTACGATGTTCTCTATGGGTATCTCGGAAACTACTATAGATAGAGAGTCGGTTAAATGGGGAAATATTTGCAGTTTTGTGGGATCATAAATATGCGCATTTCAGATTTTTGAAAAAGTTCATGGCTTACTAGATATTTCGAAAAAAACAAATTTTGGCTATTGTAAAAATTGTCCCTAATTCCATTATAATTTATTTTAGACAAAAAGTTTTCAGATAAAAGTTGTAGATAATCACATCCCTAACGAGTTTGTGTTCTCCGATTTTTTCTAAAGCCTGTCATTTTTGACATATGACACAAACATATGATTTTTTAAATGGAAACCATAGTTGGCCATGACTTCATAAAAAGCGCCATTTTTTAAGCTTTTCAGTGATATAAGCTATAATATTTTTTTTTTCAAAAAATTACTGAGGTATAGCCAATTCTTATCTTTATTGACTAATTTCACTTAGCATGGTGTTCTTATTTTGTTATGATTTATAACTTATAAAAATTGCATTGAAAAATCCTTTTACTATTTTCATATAGAAAATAGGAAAATTGTAAATTGAGTGTGCCTCTTAAAATGATTATAAAATATTTCTTTTTGCATCTCCCTGTATAACGGTAAGTGTAAAGTATTATATTATATTTTAAAAATTAGCTAAAAAATTATATACAGGATGATGCAAAAATATGTGGAGGTTTTTCATTATGGAGGCAAAAAAAGCGCTTCGTAGTTTTTACCCAATATGACCAAAAAGGTCTTATAATCAAAACAAACTGAATTCTAATAATAAATAGAAATACAATTTGTTTTACTGTCAGTGCAGTAAAACAAAACTACAATTTTTTGGTGTCGTTCTAGTAGTAGTACCCGAAAGGATGTAGAGGTTTAATTTAAATGAAAAAGGAACCACGCTGTGTGACAATATTTGTTTTTCTGCTTCGGATAAAAGGATATGGAGCAATTGGGCTCTTTAGTAAGAAAACGGCGAATAAATGCCACATGCATTCCTAAGAATTGATTTTTTATGTTTTTATTATTAAGATACCTAATTATTCTCGGTATAGATACGGTTAGAAGAACAAATTTAAGTATTTTTGTATAAGTATATAAAATTTTTAACGCATTGCATTCCGAAGACTGTAATCAGCGTATATCACTGCAAATTGGCATTATATCTCAAGTTATTCATTTATGTTGGATTCTCAGTCTCCTTCAATTGTTATAGCTTTTTACAGACAGAAAAGTCATATAAGATATATTATTCACATCCCATGACAAAGGCATTAACATTAAAACGTTATGAATATCTAGCGTTAAGTTAAAGATTTTTATTTTGTACCAGCTGGTCAGCTTCGATATTTTTATATGTACGCAGAATTCCATGCAAATGATCGGAAGTCGACAGACTGCTATTGGTCACCTTAAAGCTCTCTTCGATGTCATATGGGAAAGCGGAGAGGTACCTCAGAACTTTCGCGACGCGAATATGGCGAATATATTTAAGAACAAAGGTTCATCAGATTGCAGAAACTACCGGCAAATTTCACTACTGGCTATCGGAGGAAAAGTTCTTGGAAAAAATATGTCAAACGGCCTGCGCCTACATATAGAAAAAATTCTCCCAGGATCGCAAACGGAGCAGCAGAGTAAACTTTATGTTGCGTTTTTCATCGACCTAACAAAAGCCTTCGGCTCTGCATATAGAGATGCATTTTGGACAATTATGCAAAAGTTCGGAGTACATAACAAATTGCTTATAGTGTGTAAAAGCCTCTATAGTAACAACAAGTCTAGAGTGGCTCATCATGGATAACTGAGCGATCCCTTCCTAAAAAATACCGGAGTTAAGCAGGGATGTGTCTTAGCGCCTCTCCTATTCAACGTATTCATGGCAGCGCTCTCTATTACAGTGGACAGCAAACTGCAGGAAAGACGAATGGATACAGAATACAGATACGCCGGCGGTTTGTTCAACATAATAAGACTCAGAGCAAAAAAAACGTACAAAATACATTACAGAACTTCAATACGCTGATGACTGCGCTGATATACCTGGCCATACGAGGCTTTGAGCCTTAGGTTGAACATCGATAAAACCAAAAAGAATGTGCACTCCCCCGGAAAATCAACCAACGGTAATAACAATGGTATACAAATCGGAGATCTATTATTGTAATATGTCGAGGAATTCAATTACCTCGGCAGTTTGATTTCGGAAAAGGCCAACATCGACTCTGAAATTTAGCTCAGAATTAGCAGCGCCTAGAAAAGTAGAAAGATACTAAAGTTATGACCTGTACTTATGTTGCGTGTATCCCGTATAATGCATCAATTACTTCATACAATTTTATGTATTATTTTGAATATTACAATATTTGGATATTGACAGTTTTATTGTATCTGTCATTTTTATTCGCCAGTAAATTGTATTTTCGGTCGTTTTTGGATGTCGTCAGTTAAAATCTTCCTTGACTTTAAAATATATTTTTGAAGGTAATTAAAATTGTACTGATACTTAAAAATATGTACCTAATTATTATCAAATTTTGTATTCGATTAAGCAGTTTTGCTATCTGAGTTACAATTTTCATGTCAAAAGTGAAATTAAATTATTATTAATACAGCAGAATGCAAGAAATAAATATTTGTGATATTTCACTGAAAAACTCACCCAATTCCTGCTTTTCTTAATCGTAAAATCATATTACAGCTTTCTTCTGGACTGGGAGTGACTGGCTCTCTCTGAAGATTGGCGTCGTTATACAAATTGACTCTTCCGCTTATTGTTAGGTCGTTAAACATCAATCGGGTCTCCAAACTACGGTTGATCGGGTCAAAACTGCACCTCTGCACCCTAACCTGAAACAAAATAGAATTGTTTAATTTATCTAGACATCAAGGAGAATTGTAATAGAGTGCACAGTATTCTGAATATTTCTTAGTCTAATTTGAATGTCTAACATAGAAGATATCTAATAACAGAGCATATTCAGTACCATCTTGTCATCTTCGCTTGTTTTTGAGTATTCGCACGTCACCTATTGCGTTTATTCGGTCTATCACCTACAGCACCAGTATCCATCGTTTGATTTAGACTAAGCTTGAGTAGATTCTCCACCAGAGGTTAAGATTAAGAATATCCTTTCGCACCACACCAGTGGAGTTTTTATGCTTTATCTGGATATTCTTCATTGTATCATAGGAGAATTCTCTGCAAAACACGTCTCAAGCATGTTCATGTTTTATGTTTACTTCTTCAAAAGCAAGTTTAGACAATACATTATCTTATTTATATTATTATCCATTATTAGAGTGGCCGTGCATTGTACAAATTAAACATGAACATAATCACCGACTTAATTGTATAGAAGCGTTACGTGAAAAGCCTCTAGGAGAAGAAGCCAAATCAAAAATTGTCGAGTTATTTCAACGGGGACAATTTGCTGCGTCAGCTTATCATACGTATTTTGCATTAATGATGGATTCATTAGAAAAGGATTATAGTAGCAAGGTATCCGACAGAAGCATTATTCCAACAAAAACCGACGACGTGCAGACATTGTGGAGAAAAAACTTCAAAGAAAACTTTGGTGAAAAGAGTAGAGAAGGTATGATGAAACAGCTAGAGACTTAGAGACTTAAATTTAGGGGAAGCCCAAAATAATGACGGAGTCTTGTATGACATCACGAGGAATGAAAATAATTATGCAGTTGCATTATGCACTCCATTAATGCAGAGAGCATTAAAGCTACCTACAATGAACGAGTTACTATTGGTAGATTCTTCTAGTAACTGTGACAGTCAAAATCATAAAATTTATTTTTTTTATAATCCAAACGGCTGCAGGAAGATTACCAATTGGTTGTATAATATCAACGAGCGTAAAATCAGGTGTATTTGATGCAGCCCTCCAAGAACTTATTAAAATTCTGCCTGTTGCAATTTCTCCTAGCGCTATTCTAACGGACGATGATTTGACAGAAATCAATGTTTTACGTAAATATTGGCCTAGATCCAAGTTTTTATTGTGTACGTTTCATGTCCTCAAAGCTGCATGGAAATTGATTCAGACTGGAAGCTATGGAATCCTCAAAGCGGACCAAGAATTCATGTATAAACTCTTTCGAAATATTTTGATAGCAATTAATGATGAGGGATTTAGTGAAGCTTATGAAGCTCTTCCTCAATACCGCAACACCTTATTTCACTTATCATTCAGTTGTATCAGCACACTACAGGATCAGTTATAATACTGGATTCAGCTTCAAAGGAATTTTCCCTCGAACAAGGAGTCAGACAGGGGTGTATATTGTCTCCTCAACTATTTAACATATACGGAGAATACATAATGAGAAGGTCGCTAGAAACATGGGAAGGAGGTATTTCAATAAATTGGCCAAAAAATAAATAATCTACGCTTTGCAGATGGTACAGCACTACTCGCTAACAGTCAAGAAGAGTTAATCAATTTAGTAAACAGGGTAGAAAACAAAAGCAATCGGCTCGGTCTGAAACTAAATACGCAAAAAAACAAAATTATGGTAGTTGATAGGCAACATAAAAACCATCCAAATATAAGTAATATCGACCGCTTTGAAGTCTTTAAGTCATACGTATACCTGGGGGATCACTATTGACAAATACAGGCACATCGGAAGAAGAGGTGAAGCGTTGGTGCAACATGGCAAAGGTAACTGTTGGGAGACTGACCAAGATCTGGAAAGACCGCCAGATATCAAGAGTCGTCAAAAACCGGCTAGCCAACTGTTTGGTACTCCCAATATTGACGTATGGCTGCGAATCGTGGACTCTCAGCCAGGCGGAAACGTAAGAGATCGATGCTACCGAGATGTATTGTTATAGAAGTATGCTCCGTATCCCATGGACCGAACGCCGTACAAACGGTTCCATTATAAATGAACTTGATATTACTAACAGGCTTTCCTGTAAAATCCGACAAAACAACTAAAAAATATTTTGGCCATATAATGAGGAAAAGTCCGGACAATATGGAAAAAGTCATAATTCAAGGCAAGGTGGAGGGACTTAGACCACGTGGCCGCTCTCCAACTCGGTGGATAGACCAGATCACGACTAGCTGTAGCAAGCCAATGCACGATGTCATCGAGATGACAAAAGACAGAGGCGCATGGAGAAAAATCATCCATGATGTTACGCTGACCACTACACTCCCTAATGGGGCATCAGGACTGAAGAGAGAGATGAAGCTCTTCAACTCAATTGCAAGTATACATCATTTTAGCTTTATTGACAATCGGAGAAAATAGAACTAGAAAAGATGCTATTACTCTACACTACTCTTAACGCAGCTGTTGTTACTGTTTCTAACTTCAGCTCGCTACCCCTTCGCCTAGCACGGGTGCTGTTACTGTATATGCGACCCGGACGTTCATGATATTTTGGGTTCATGATATTTTGAAGACGTTTCATGCACTATGAAGCCCCATCATCAATGGCGAAAAAATCGTCTGATTTAATGAATCTTTGGAGAGTCGTAACTCGGACCCTATGTGACGTAAAAGCTTAAAACTCGGAATGTAGATGAAGCTCGAGTGATATTTTGACGACGTTTCGTGTACTACAAAACCCCATCATCCATGAATCAAATCAATCACTGTGACAGTTAGTTTTGACGTATGAAACGTCAAAATCGATCGCGACCAAATTTTGGTGGGTAGGCTATGTGAGCGACATCTTCTCTTCTATTTGATATCTTCATCAGGGTGAGACTTAAGGATTTGAATATTGAAGAAAAATGTGGGTCGATTTCGGCATTATCAAGGTTTTTAAGGCCATCTCGACTGAACAGGACTGTTGAGATTTTCAAATTGATTTAAATGCAGTATCATAATGGTTTTTTGAAAACGAAATCTTACTCAACGTTGAAAAGTGCTGTACTATGACCTATACTCGGAAGAATTTTCTTGAACATGAATATTTAATAGAGAATAGAGCGCTTCAAAGAAGAGATGGTATTAGAGACATAGGAGTCAATATTCAATCTAATTTAACATTTAAGGACCACTACCGACATATTGTGAATAAAGCACTTAAGAAACTTGGTTTTGTGATTAGAAATTCAAGGAACTTTATAAACTGTGATACTTTGATCCTACAGTACAATGCCCTGGTGAAGTCCCAGTTGGAGTATGCCTCCATTATTTGGTCGCCCCGGACACTGTCCAGCGGTGACCTCATTGAGCGTGTACAAAAAAGGTTTTTAAGATATTTGTATGTGCGACGGAATAATGCTTATCCTTATATGATGTCATATGCGTCTATGCTTAGAGATTTTAATTTCCAGAAGCTGGAAGAACGAAGGCAAATCCAATCTGTGATATTTGTATTTGATATAGTTAAAAACCTAAGATATGGCGATTGTTCTTTGATCAATATTATACCATTTTATGTACCAAAAATAGGATTAAGAATAAGAAAGGCAATGCATAACTGTTTTCAGATGATGAACAAATGGGTTGCAGCCACTTAATTTTATGTCTCCTCCAGTTGCATAAGTCTCTTAGTGGTATGCCTAATAATATAGTCGACGTGAATTATGGTGATTATCACCGTTTCCTCGAATACTAGTGTTAGGAATATTGTTGCAGCATTTAATGACATAGTCTAACAATCATGATATAAGGTTAGTTTAGTTATATTATTGTTGATGACTTTTGTTTGTTTACCCTCTCTTACATGTAATTACCATATATTGTGTGTTTGTAAGATTTCTGTAATAAATAAATAAATAAAATAATTTGGAGACGGGCTTACAGGATGACGCCCTCGACGTTTCGAACCGATGCCTCTTAAATGAACAAATCATCAGGGATTTTTTCTTAATTATGGGTCGATTGGAAACAAACTCGGCCACGTAGGTACCCAAATAGAGTAATCTACAGACAGACGGGAGTAAAGAAGTTTTACTTCAAATATGCGCACATAGTGCACACACAATTTATTTTACGACAAATATGCAAAATAAAAAGATAAAAATTGATAAGCAAGGCCACAAAAATTGTCTCTCCCCAAAAAAAAAACAAAGTCATGCAAACCTTGAATCTATGTCTATTTTGTAAACACGCTCCACTCATTTCTTACTCTATGAACTTACCCAAGTTTTTGAAGGCGGCAATCGCACCCTCATATCAGTGACGTACATATCAAAAGGGGCACTGCGCAACGGCTGATGTAACGAGTATCCGTGCAGATGCAGCATGCGTTCCTTGGCGATCTGCCTGCGTCGTATCGAATCCAAAGCCCTCTCCATTTTGTCTGTGCATCTTCTGGATTCCTCCCTGTCCGGATCTCTCTCTTCCGGTTCTGGATAGACGTTGTTACCGTTGAAGGGAAGGTACGGGTACTTCGACGATTGGTACTTGTCGTTTTGGCGTTTGTCGAAGTCTTCTATTGGTTTATTAAAAAATTAAAAATATATTAAACACATTATAATAATATTTTATAAGTCACAATGAGAATACTACCAAATAAACTTTTAGTCCCGTGATTAAGCTTCACCGGCACAGCGTTGCTCACTTTTACATATTTTCTTTTAATCAAAATATTTTAGGAAATAAAAATAAATTAATTATAAATATATAAACAGTTATTATTTACATCAACAAAACTAATCTCCTTAACAGCACTTATAAAGGGTCATTACTACCGCTTTGCCGTTCAAAATATTCTAATAAGGTTGCGATGAGATTTTTACAACGGCTATTAAGCTGTCAAAAAAAACAATGTTCGACTGCAAGGTCTGCTAGTAAAAAAAGTTAAGCTTAAAGTATCATAACATAACACAATTCATTTAAACCAAAAATTTTTTTTTTTTTTAAATATAGTTTATTTTGTAAAAGACGTCGTGTCTGGAAATAAATGAATAAATGTGGCAATTTCACATTTTTTCAGCAAAGCTACCACCTGAATCCCCAGCGAGAAATTTAAATTCCAGTTAGTCAGCCTGGTGCCGAATATGTCCATGGTTGGCAACAATGAATGTAATAATCGCGCCCTCGATTACGTAACTAAAAGTTTAATTGGTATCACTTATATACAGGGTGTCAAAAAAATGATGTGTCTAACTTTAGTGGGTGATTCTACAGACAAAAATAAAACAAAAAGTTCCTCTGAACATATGCCCTAAAATGCTTCCCGAATAAAATACAGCTCTCGAAAGGTTAAATAAAAACAATATATTTTGTTTATTTTTAAGAACATTGGTAAAGCCACAGGTAAAGCGACTTTCCTGAAATTTGGTACACTTACACACATTTTAATGTCAAAGCGATAATGTCGATTGTGAAAAATTCTGTAACAGCTCTGACAGGATACTTTTCATTAGAGTAGGGAGTACTAGTGGTACTTCTTTTATCCTTATACAGTAATTTTACGAGCAATTGTACTACTACTCCTCAGTCCATTGTAGTCGCGTAATTTTGTGCTGTAAATTAAGCTGCGGAACACGTAGAGACCTCCTTAAATGTATCCTCTGTAATGGAGTCTTCATGTCTTTCTTGAAACATTTACTCCTTCAAGGCGAGCTAACTCATTTTTAATAGCAGTACTAGAAAGCAGGGGACTTCATTGTGCAATTAGGGATATTTGACGGTATTGCACAGCAGTAGTAACTCTGTTTCTACCTGTTCCAGGTCGGTCTGTAGCCTCGTTTGTCTCCCTGATTTTTTTTAATATTCGCGAAACATCGCTTTGGTTAACTCCTACAATTTCAGTTATTGCAACTTGCCGGTAGCCCTGTTGAGACAGTGTTACTATTCTGACTCTATTAAACTGTAAAATAATGTTTTAGGCATTTTGAAGGCCAAAACAATGGTCAAAATTTCTTCTGAAACCCAATAGACCACAAATCGAAATGTGCAAGAATTTTGTAATAATATTGGGTCTAAACGATAAACATTGTTTACCATATCCCATTTTTAAACAAAAAAAAATGTTTATTACAGATTATCAAGGCTATTGCGTATAAAAAAAATATTCTTTAAATTCCTTTTTCTCGTAATATTATTAAAATATGACGACTATATGCATAATATTTTGGCCATGTGTGTATATTTCTATACTCAATTTTTGTATAAAAATATTTCTCTATTCAATAAGTTAATTACATTTTAAACAATACAAATATAGAAAATTGCTTCAAATTAATTTTTTAAATGTTACGTAGACTTGCAGTCGTGTACTTTCGCACTATTAATAATACTATTATTTCAGTTTCAAAAATTTATTTACTTATATGTTTGTGTATCTAGTGAAAGGAGCGACTCTTTCTATTGTTTACCAACTACCTAATTTCATACATAAATAACTACCATAATTAATAGAAATCTCGTCTAGAAACGCTTTTACACTGAAAGTTCTTTAAAAGTTTTGACTATTTCTTCTTTGTATTTTTGACTCATTTAAATACAGGGTGGCGCGCCTTATTCGCCCCGGTGATTATTCAAAAACGGAAAGACGTAGAAACAAAATATTTTATGGGCATATGTGGGGAGACAATGTGCACAATTTAAAATGATTTTGAAATATACAGGTTGTTTCAGAACTAAGATCCATATCAAAGTTATATTTTTTCTTATGGAACACCCGGTATTTTATTACATTTTTGGATTTTTGGGCTCAAAAAAAGGCATTTATTTTATTGGTTAAATATGTTTAAAATCTTTGGTTTTTGAGATATTTAAAGATATTTAAAGATATTTAAATATGCATGATACAATAGAATAGATTAGGTATTAACATCCTGTACATTACTTTTCAGAATTAATTTTTGTATTGAGTTTAAAGGTAGAGAAATAAACTTTACTGAAAAATGATATTGCTTCCTTAAATTTATAAAGGGGTACCAAAATACCAAAAATTGCTGATTTATTTTAAAGATTTATTTTATATAAAAACTTTGTTATTTCAAATACAGCACCCTGTAGTTTTTTTAAATAAATCGATGCAGATTCAAATGCTCTTTCAAACTGTATTAGGGACTACTACACCTATCTAGCTGAGATTTTGAATAAAAAGCGATTTTTCAATAAAATGAATAAAATGGCAATCAAGATGGTTGGTTTCGCCATGACAATTTTCTAGTGGCAGTTAGCAACTATTTTCAAAATCGACATTAGTTAATGGACATTATTATTTAGATGTATAACAATATGTTTACTTAAATTTACCTACAATAGTTTAATAAGTAAGTATTCACTATTTTATCAAGAAAAATAAAGCAGTATCTGCTGGCGGAACGAATAGATATGTTACTAGTGATATTATTTTATGAGGAAAATTATTGCTTCTTGGCCTCAAGGGCTTATCCTCAAAAAATCATCAAAGATGTTCAAACTGAGCACCTCCTTGTTGAATATACAATAAACATCTTTTGCGCACAGAGTTACAACGATTTATTAGGCAAACTGGTGTTACAGTTGTTTTGGAAAGTCCAAAAGCTGCCTAGTAGCTTTATTCTTTCCTTATATATATATGGTCTTTTAATTTCCCCCATAAAAAAGTCGAAAGGAGTTAAATCACAGGACCTAGCAAGCCAAGATATGTGACCCCTTGTTCCAATCCAGTTCTCTCTAAATTCTCCATTTAATAGTGCAGTTGTAATCCTGGTGTTTTAAATGCAAATGGTAATACTAATATAAAATGTTGATTTACCTTTTTAAAAGTCTTTAATTATGCAGATAAATAATAATATAGAATATTAAATTGTGATAAAAAATAATTAGGCAGCTAGGCCAACACAAAATCAATGCCCGCTTCGATACAAAGATAAAAAAAAACCTAATATTTCTCTCATTCTTAGAAATAAATACACATAACTTATATCGTTGGAAAGGGTTAAACGCCAGCATTTTTTAAGTTCATAACCAACTATGATTTCCATTTAAAAAATTATGTTTTTATTATTTCTGAGAAAAAAAGCAAGAAAATGGATACAGCTTATTTCCGCATGAAAATTTTTATTTTCCTCAATTCGTGAATGCTTCTAAAAGGCAAAAATATATTTATTTTTTATATAACTGATTTCAGCTATTCTAAAGTCTAATAAATTTCCTTAGAATAGGGAAACAGCTTATTTCCGCAGGAAAATTTTTGTGTTTATATGTTCAGAAAAATATTAAAAATAAAACGCAAAATGTATTTTTTTGTAGCAGATTTCAGTTATTCTAAAGTGCGAAATTTGGAAATTACGCATTTCCGCAGGAAAATTTGTGTTTTCCGTGGTTCGCAGTAGCTTTTTAAAGACAAAATTTTTTATTCTAATAACTGATTTCAGCTAAACGAAAGTTGACCCAGTGACCATTACACTCTTGTAAAGACAATCCGGGGTCATACTGTATAACTAATATTATGGACTTACCCGGTGGATCAAAAATCAGTTCTTCCTCGCCCGGAATCACCCCAAATCCAAAATCAGTGAAGCTGAGCGCCCACAAAAACAACATCCACTTCTGCAGGTACATCACTAATACAGCGGACCACTGGACCCAATAAGAACTGACCGGAGGCTTTTATGCTTTGTCCCACTGTATCGGAAAAAATAAACGAAATGAACAAAAAATCTCGCAAAAAAGTTTCACTCTTTTCTTCTTCCCGCCAGTATTGTTGGCAAACGTCTGTTCGTTTGCCGTTTAGTTTAAAAGAATACGCTAAAATTTGAGGAGATATCCTAGCATTGTGGTTGGGAAGTAGAGCATGATAGGTCTTTTAATCGTACGCGCGACAAGGTAGTCGAAAAAAGAACCGCGGTTGTGTGCTTTTTTTCTTCTTTGCTCAGGTACATAATAATGTTATTTTGAAGTAAATTGGCAAAATTAAACTGATTACCATTCGGATTAACTAACAGATGCATCGTTAAAATTATTGGTGCCTATTGTTATGAGGATGATATTTTTTTTTATTTTTTTGAACCGAGTATTCATATAATTGCTTATGGATAATATTACTATTACAGTGTTTTTGAAATAACTACATTTTTTTAATTAAAACGCTTTTTAGCCTAATCAGATCAAAGATATTTAAAAATTGCATTGTGTTGTAGCATAAATAATAATATATATTTGTGGAAAATATTGGATATTTGCACAGGAATCTTCATTTTATCATTAATATTCTTATAAAAAAAATATATACAGGATGTCCCAGAAATAAGTGCAAGTATTTTAAGGGGTGGTAGATCTCGATAAAAGAAACATATTTTCTCTTTGTCGTTTTTCAAATAAGTCCAAAATAACGGAGTTATTTCAAAAAAATATATTTTTTGCTAAAATTTTGAGAACCACTGGATCTTTTCTGGATTTTCTTTCTTGTAAATTTAATCTACTACCTATATTGCCATATTATCAAGAAACTATGTTTTTAACTAAAAACTAAAAAAGAATCCAAAATTTTTTTCTAAAAATTCCTAATTTTCAAATTTTTTTTCACGAAAAAACCTCACAGGCGTGTTTCGGGGGATGAACTATACTCCCAGTTAAAGTACTTGCACTTATTTCTGGGACATCGTGTATATAGATGACACTCGCAGTTTGTTTATGTAAATTTTACTTTTTGCGACTGATATCGACTATGGCAATGACTAAAGAATACAAGGACGAATAACACCTGCAACCAAAATGTTACCATACCACCAAACAGTGCCGTAGCACATATTTTTCTTAACATAGCCGCTTGAAGAGATATTTATATTTTTAATAAATGTTTTGCCTACGCCTATGGTGTATGCTGTGGTATTATACTAATTAATTACGAAAAAAACGTATTAAACTGTTAACAAAAGTTACAAAACTAGTATCGTCGTATTGCACATATCAAGTACCGTTTGATCGAAAAAAAACGGCGTCCAGTTGGCTGAGAAATGACGATCGATGACATTTCCCATAAAAATTTACATATAAAATGACAGCGATCTTCACTTCATAGCCATCGCTGACGCCGTTTTTTTTTCGATCATACGATACATATAATATCAGAAAAATAATTATCGAATTCAATAAAAAAAACGCTAAAAAGGTGGGGGGGGCTGTTTATTTACCTATGAAACGTAACTCCTGACTCTTTCTTATCGCTGCGGCTTTTACACTTGAAAGTTGATCAGCTAATCACCATTGTAATAAAGTTTATTCAAAGTTCAGTACACACAAACTATTAAAAATCGCTAAAATTGTCGCTGATGACCAGCTGCTGACTTATTCGTTACAACCAAATAATGGCGTCTAACATCACAAATTCTATAGATATAGACATTTTTTATCACAAATTCTGCTGCAGCCTGTATATGGGCGTTACATGTCTTTGTATTCTTTAGTCACTGGACGATGGAATTTTACAATCGCCATTTAAGTTAGACGGCAGTAGTTAAAACAACCTTTGGTTAGATGAAATGAGGCAAAATATATAAAATAATATTTGGGCTTAAATTAATTAAAATTAATTTTAATTAACAAGTGAATTATTATTTTATAACTTTTGCAAAGCCACATTGTTAGCCATAATCATCCACGTGGTAAAATAAAACAATATTTCGTACTGATTCATTTACAGCCTTCTAAATATTTCTGTTAAATCTTGGCGCCCAACGTGGGGCGCAAAGAAAAGCAGATGTTAAAATACAGAATCGCGTATCAATATACAATATTTCCAACAAATGATATTTTTTTAATTTTAATTAAATGATGTACATCTTACAACGCCATAAGTGGTAATAAGGTGCTATTAATGCAAAAACTAATTATCACAGAATTTAATAAAACTAACTTTGAAAGTGATCAAATTTACTTCTCTGACTGCAGTCAAGGGTAATATAGAAACTTTATTGTCACGTTCTCATTCAAATTGTTTATCAGGGAAGCTACAAGCTCTTTGCTTCGACTGTTTAAATGCTTCGACATATTTTCAACGCACAAATTTTAAGAAATGCAATACAAAAACTGGAAAAACTAGTTCTTAAAAGAACTGTTTGTGCTTAAAAGTGCAATTTTTAAAAAAAGACTACGAAAATAGGCAAAAACCGAGAATTGCTCACAAAGATTCAACAGCGACATGACAATATGCAAAATAATGACTGACATTAGGATAATTGTCAAATAATAAAGGACAACATTGCTGAACATGGCGCAATGTGACCAACATAGCGATAATAAAAATTGGTTTAAACTAATTTTTGCAGCTCTAATCTAAATAAAATATCTTATACAATCATTTGCTCTATAAAGTAAAAGGAAGAGCTGCTCGGTATCTTAAATTATACAACAAATTTAAACATTTTCGCCAAAATTTCATTTAGTCAGCTTTATAGACTTTAATGTCAATGTCGATATGATTGATGACGTGCATCGGAAAATGTTTTGCGATTATAATAAGTATAGTACTAGAGTCTGTGGTTGGTTGTATATTAAATAGTTGTTTGGTTGGAAGAAAGAATTTCTAACAGAAGTTCCAGAATGTGGACAATAATTTAGAAAGAAAGTACATCTGAAAATAACCTTCACATGAATCATTAAATATTTTCTTTAAAACTTTTAATTGACCAGTTCCTATAAAAAGCTCTGTATACATTATAATAATAGTAAGCGCATTTCTAGGAATATTAAATACATTATAATAATAATAAGCGGAAAATATATAACATTCCCATTAAATACAACAATTTAAATGTGAAAATAAGCTATGAGACATAATTAGAAAAAAATGTACTTAGTGTCTAAAAATTAGCAAAATATTGGGTTCTTTCAGATCAGTGAGTCGCCCTGTATATTACTATGTAAATTTTATTGTTAATTTATGTATTCTTCCATAACATTAAAATTGTTAGAAAACTTTTAAAATTCAAAAGAATATAATAGTTCAGCAACAAAAAGCAAAGTTCCCTGCTAGTTAAAAACCACAAATGCATTTATTCTACTAAATATTTTTATAAGATTAGACCAACCTCCATTTTTATTTATTTTCGACAATTTTACAATAATTGAGATATCATTTTATGAGACTTACTTAAACAATTCACAGATATTCGTTCTTAAAATCATATTAATCCTGATCTAATAACAAGAACAATAAGATTAAATCTCAAAATTACCCAAACACCACAAATACTATAATATTATACCTCTAAATACGTAAAACAACACAACACTAACTGAACTGCACGCAGAAAAATGCTAGAACTTTTCACAAAATTATCGTGTACGCGGAAAACTAGATAAATTATATTCAATGAACT